ACGCCGACTCGATGGTACCTGACAACAACAACGATTTACAGATCCAGTGGAGAGGAGTTTTCTTTCCTTTACATTGAGATGCAGCCCGTACTGAAGGCTCTGCTGTTTGGTCTTCATCACTAAGTATTTCAAGCCCTCTTCATTTCCAGTAAGCAAGGTTGCATCAAATCTGAAGATTAGGTATAAATTTTGCTTACACTAGCATCAACTGGTGCTTGCCAGGGGTTGATCTAACTGTTCTTCCTAATGGCTTTGGACCTTCTCACTGGTTTCTAGAAACTTCCTCCACTCTCGCTTCAAGTTTTGCTCTGGGGTTTTAAAGAAGTATGAAAAAGTGCTTTGTTTGTTGGCTTTTGTCAAGGAGACAATGAACTATTTCTTAATACTCCCATGTATCCTTGGGAGCTCCCTCTCCAAACAGTTTATCTGCTCTGTTTTTCACAAGAATGCTAGAGTTTCCTTCCCAGTTGGATCGTTCTCATCCTGTTTGCTCCCTGAAGGGGACATGTGATCCTACACGCCACATTTCCTCACGGCCGTTCATTTTCCTACCAGGAAATGTTAAACTAGCCACCGCACTCTACGCCTTCCTCTCAACGCCCAGCAGAGCCCCCGAGTCTGATTACAGCCAAGCTTCAACCTGCTAGGACCTCTTAGCAAGCATCTCAACCTGTGTCTTGCCTACTAAGTCTTCACGGAACTCAACTGTTTTGCATCTGAGCATGCTAAAACACGGGCAGCTCTGTAAACGCAAGTCATAAATGAGGCAATCTTTTGGAAGAAGCTCCCTGTGGCTCTCCCGTGGCCCAGGTCGGGGAGAGTGGCCTGCTGTCTGTCGTGGGCTGTGGTCCCCAGGGGTGCTGCACTGAGGAGTTCGAGGTGCAGATGACTCCGGGCAGGAGGCGCTCTGTATGTACTAAGAGCACCCAGGCAGCAGATGGGCTTCCTAACATGCCACGCTCACAGATGTCCCAGAGACCACGAGCCGTTGCACAAATCACTCATTCAACCCACATTCTACATCACTGTTTATGGAAAACACATCACAAACCCACTCAGTTAGACTGAGGCCCTAGCCTAAGACATGTGCAACCTAGAGGAAGAGATGGTGCCTACAGCAAGAAGCAGACCCATGAGACAGCTGAGGAGAAGTCATTTTCACAGAAGGGTCAGAGGAGCCTTCAAAAAGGGGCCCAGTGCTGAGCCTGAAGAGTGAGCGTGACCCTAGCAAAGGGAGGAAGAACCCCGCCCCCAGGTGGTGACAGTGTTAGACAGGACAGTGGACCAGAGTAGGGAAAGAGACATGGTGTGGCTGAGCAGAAGGCTGAGGAGGGGAGCCCTCATGCCCCTGACTGTTTAGGAGGAGGAAAGTAGAGTGACCCCAAGGCTGTTTCTAAATAACATTAACCACAGCAGCCCTCGCGGAGACCCCCCCCCCCCAGCATCCAGTGCAATGCCAAGAGCAGTGCCCCACCCGCAGGCAGCCTCAGCAAAGTCTGCTGTTGAGGCTCAGGGAGACAGCAGTGTGGGGAACTTGGGCAGTCCCAGGCCTCACTGGCCCCAAAGGTCCTGAGGTGAGTCTGTGCTCTAGGTTAGAAGGGACAGAGAGGCCAGGGGCAGAGCGGGGAGCCAGCCATGTTAGGGTTCCATAAACCTCATTTGCATGGTCCCATCCCATAAAGGAGTCCTGGCGTGGTGCTGTGGGTAAATGCATTGGTCCGCAAAGTTGGCTTGAACTGTAAGGTGGGTGGTTCAAGCTTACCAGTTGCTCCTCAGAAACCCTATACAGG